AACTTACCAACAGGTAATATTTTAAAAAGTTAATTTTTCAAATTGCGATTGCCCCCCGGCTCTTCATAAAAAACTCTTAGTCGGAGGCGGGATTCCATTTAATTGGAAAACATCAAGACGCATACCACCAATTGGAGGAGGAGCTCGGTCGAAAACTGTTTCAGCGGTTACAAGGCGCCAAATATTTGTACTCGTATGCAAAAGGTGCTTTCCGTCGTACTATATGATGCAGAAGGGTATGCGATGTTCACATCTGATGAATCTGCTTTGAGAGTCTTCGGGAGGAAAGTTTTTCAAACAATGTAGGGTTCTGAAAACTATAGATGATGGAACAACGAACTGTACGATATGTAGTTTTCGTCTTCTTGCTATGAAAGTATGCTGGCGCCACTTAATGTCGTGCTGCTGTAGTAATGCATGCAATATACGTAAAGATTTTTAATACCGGTTCTTGGACCACGGCCAACTTCAATTTTTGAATTTTCCCCCGTTTCCCCGTTACCGTACCCCGTTAGTCCCAGACACGCTTGTATACCCTTCACGTTCTTTCGCAAAGGAAATTTTTTTACCATCTTAGCATTTTCTTGTCCTGGCCGCACAAATTCATTCTCGATTTCATGACCGAGAAAAATATTTATTTTCTTAAGAAAACTGCATTTCTTGCATTGATTTCGAGCTTCTATACTACCTCTCGCTGTTGTGCTGACAATCGACTGGGGCTTTCGTGAAAGGCAATGTTGCTACTAATGAGTATAATACTTAATTTCTCTGGGCATTGCGGCTCGGCATCCGATAGTTTATAGTTTTTAAATAACTCCGTAACTGCTGACCTATAATGCGGTTCTACCTCTACATCATTCTCATTGTTATCAAAATTGAAAACATTGTATTCAATTTGTTCCGCACTTTTACTAAGCTGAATCCACCTGCGTTTAGAATGACCGCGAAATTTTGCAAGAAATCGAAACCCACGATTACATCTACATCTTTGCATATGGGACCACTAGAAATATATGGCATAGTCACAGACCGTCTACTTCAGCTTTCGCCTCAAATTTGCTTAACACTTTCCATGACTTTTCTGCATTGTCCATTCGCCAAAGGTTTCTTTATATTTACTTTTGCGCATTAGCGAGACCTCTACCCTTGTATCCACCAGGCACGAAATGATTTTGTATATAGTTATTGAAATTTACTTCGTGATCTATAATAATGTTAATGTTTTGCTTAGCACCTGGACAATTTTTCGCCATGTGTCACGAGCAATTACATTTGAAACATTTAGTTTCTTCCTTGCTATCTAATCGTTAATGCTATGTCGAACCGAAATTAAAAAATGTTTTCTTTCCTTCCCTTTGTCGCCTTTTTCAACATTGTTTTGCTCATAACCATTTAATTCTGCTATTTGTCTGACGATGTTTAATACATATCCATGAAATTATTCTACATATTGCTTTGGTCGGTCTCTGAGCAGTTTGTGTACTTCGTTACTGTTCAACTTCTTCTCGAATTCTTCCATAAAAATATCGCATAACGTTTCGTAGTTAGCAACTGTCACTGTTTCTAGTAACAGTTTTGCCGTTCTTCTCATTTTATTGCTGGCAATCACATATTTATGCTTTTGCTTCAATCCGTATGCCTCCGCATTTTCGTCAAAGTTATTCAGCGATTGCCGTATTGGTATCGACACGCCGTCATTGTCAGGCACAACTTTCGAAAACTTGTCTACTGTTACTTTCTTTCTGTTATTTTGCTCTACGCTTTGTGTCAACGCTTTGATCAACTCGTTAAAATCGCTATTTTTCATGTCTGATATTAACTCTTTTGAATCTCCGCTTGAGTGTTTTCGTTCGTTCTATGTTTTGTGTTGCTTCCCCGCTACTGTTGTTTCGAATTCACTGACTTGTTCAGCTTCGGATTTACTGCTGTATCTGCTGATTCGTTCTACTGCACCTGTTTCGAACTTGGCAGCACGCTTCCCTTCTTTATCCTCTCTCTTTCTCTGTGCTGGTCCTCCCCTTCTCGGCGAATCCAACATTATTTTCATCTTTCAAATACGCAAGCTCGACGGTTGAGAACCCATGTAAGATAGATAGAGTTTATTTAGTTCAATAGAATCCGCTTGGCTAGTTGCTGACTGGCTGACTGTGGGCAAAAAATAAGATGAATTTTATTAAAGTTGAGTTTCACTCGTTGAATATTTCGGGTTAAATTAATGTTGGTATTATTGTTATTGACATCTACGCTAAATTTCATGTCATCATTAGTTCCGCTTGTGTTTACTAAACGACTGAAAGGGCTTTCGGAGATTTTTATAATGTCAATGTCGATCAAATTTTGCTTACCTTTTGGGGACTCAATTATATCGCAGAAGAACGTGTATAATGGATCCAAAAACTTCAAAAATCAAAGTAATGTTGACTCTTTTCTTCGATTTTCGTGGTGTTAGTATGAACTCCTGCCGCCCGGTCAAACGGTAAATAAGGAATATTACTTAGGCGTTATGCGTCGTTTGCGTGAAGCAATTTGCAAAAAAAAAAAAATAACAAAATTATAGGCTAACAATCCTTTGTTTTTGCATCGCGATAATGCCGTGACTATTTAACATGCTTGGATGCGTTTGACATGAGTTGGCATAAGTGGCGAAGAAATCGGTGTAGAAAAATAAATAAAGATGTTTAATTTTACAAACAAATTAAGCTTATTTTTTGCCCACAGTAGTATAGTAATATATGTATAAAAGAAAGCCTTGGTATTTTCATTATTATTATGTCCCTATGGGCAGTTGATGTTAGAAATGACGATTTATATTTCCTGGACCTGGGAAAGTGCATGGAAGCACTCTACCGAACCTGAAAGACTTGCGCAGTAAAAATAAACGCTTGCCTCAAATCAAAAAATCTATGGCGCTATGTGAAGAAACCTCAGTAGACATAAAAAATAAGAGTTACATTGCTGAATGATACATCTATTGAGAATTTTTCTGAGCAATTACTGACTATCGATAATGGTCAAATACCTGGCGACGACCTTTAATACGAACTCAACAATAAAGTAGTCCCAAAGATCATTACTAATCTCAATCATACAGAGCTGAGCACACAATTTTAGCGGCTCAGTTTAGAGATGGAGGATACTTAAACTACATAATGATAGAATGATACCATTGGTACATTGCATTCATTCAAATCTATTGACAAATGAAAATCAGACCACTAACTATTCTATTCCACAGCACTAAATCTTGGCTCCGTAGTAATTATGATTCGAAGCATAAGCCAGCCGAAACTGTGCAATGAAATTCGTTTGATTTTTATCCCAACAAAAAACCGAAAATCTGCTCATTTATTTTTTATAAGGCGGAAAAAAGCTCGGCGGTTCCGCTAGTATTTGTATACCGAATATGAAAAAATTATTATAGAAGTTAAAATGTGCAGATGTTTAACTAGTTCAAATTATAAATGGTTAAATGTGTTGATTTAATGAATTAATTCACGTTGGTGATTGAGAGGGCGAACAATGTAACTTACAATGCCGTCGAAAAGTCGTATTCTAGTGTGTCATTGATATGACGCGCTCCAGGTATAAACGTATTCGATGCAGTGCCCGTTAATGTAAACAAAGAAAGAGGAAAGTCTTCCCTCATTGAGAGGATTAGGTGGATAACGATCTGGTTTCACTTGGTATTATCAACTGGCTCCAATCAGCGAAGAGAAGAAACCGAGGGACGGACGCTCCATTGTTGATTTGGCTACAATCGCGTAAGCAATGCCCTCGTCAATGAAGAAGAAAGCGACGAACTTTATTCGAAAATAATCCAAGAAATTATGCAATGTTCAGTTAACATTGCCAGCTTATATGAAACAAAATTTTCTTAAGTCATTTTCCTATACCAAACAAACAAATTGACAAATTGTTGGAAAGCTGGCTTAACATAAATTTTAATCCTTTTAGAGGAATATCAGAAAAAACTTATTACTATCTTTATAATTTGACGGCTGATGGAAGTCTTTTAAAACAGAAGCTACATTGTGTTATTTTCGCAAATAAGTGTTCTATGTACGATTGTTTGAGGCAATGTCTGTATGTCGATTATGTGGAATTTTTGTAAGCTTCAGCGTGATTGCAATATGTTGTTCAAATGCTGGCTTTAAACACAATTCAGTGGAATTTTAAGTTGCTTATATTTAAAAGATAATGCAAAATTGGTGTTGCTGAAATAACTTGTTTAAAGAGCAGGCGTTTTGTGCTATTATGTTTAAGTTACAATAATAATTCTTTTTACGCAGTATATGATTTGAGATAACTTCGATATGGACCCAGGCGCTAACGCGTTTTTTGAGTTGAGTTATACAATTTCGTTCAATATTTCCAGATTTTCGGTGATTGCTTCTCACATCCCCTATCCACGTCAACCTGCTCCATCAACTGATCAATCAATTTTCCGTACAATGTGGAATGCATACTCCAAAATTCCTTTCACCATGTGCAATTAGGTTGTCTTTAACTAAAAAAAAGTTAAAATAACAATTAATAATGAAGTATTCAATTAAGCAACAACTCATAATCTCGGTAGCCGGAATCATTGCTCATATTTCATAATTTCTTACGTCTAGTTACCACACAATTAAACGTTATAATGGTTTCGATGTTTTTTTTCCCCTGAAAATTCGTAATGGTAACTTTAATAAATATTTATGTGATCGAGGATGTTTGTATGTAATGCTGAATACATTTCAAGGTTAAATGTTCACTTATAAGCTATATGTTTTTCAATTTGGAACCTGAATATTTCGTGCCAAAACACATGAACTCCATATCGAAGTCAAGTACTTTTTTAATTTGCTTTCATATCATAGTAAATAATAGTGAACCCATGTGTTGTTATGTTTGTATCTTCTACTTGAATTCGAAGCATGAAATACATATTTAAAAATTAGATTCTTTTCCTTAAGTTTGAAGACTTACAACATTTTGTTTATCTTATTGTCTTAATTTAGAAATGACGAAAATGGTAGTACGCTGCAACCAGCGAGTTGGCATAAAGAAGTCTTTCAACACTGTACATCCGCTCAAAGGGATGCAAATACGAAACAAAACTACAGCACACCGCATCCGAAGTTTTTCCAAGAACCTCAGAAACAAAACCAGCTGCCTGTGCAGTGTTTACGATTACAACCGCCCTCGAAACCGCCGCCTGTGCTTTTAATCATTGATGAAAAAATTACGGAATATGGTAAATCAAAGAAAAAAATATCAAATGGCTCACAACGCGGGAAAAATCTCCAGCAACGGTCTGCCACACTTCCAGTAAAAAATTGTGGCTCAGTTATTCGTAATCGTGTAACATTTCGTGCCCCATCACAAGTTCTGCCTTTGGGGGACTATAGTAATTATATTAATAACAATAGCACTGACTACCGTGTTCACGCATTAAATATTAAAATGACTTCGGAAGATCTTTTACAACCAGGCCATGTCGTAAAAGAACGTTGGAAAGTGCGTTAATTTATTTTGAATAAATAATATTTTGATTTAATAACTTTTTTTTGCAGGTTGTTCGAAAAATAGGAGGAGGGGGATTCGGAGAAATCTATGAAGGCCAAGATTTAATTACTCGAGAGCAAGTTGCGTTAAAAGTAGAATCGGCTCGTCAGCCAAAGCAGGTTCTGAAAATGGAAGTTGCCGTTCTAAAAAAATTGCAAGGAAAAGAGCATGTTTGTCGTTTCATTGGTTGTGGTCGAAATGATCGATTTAATTATGTTGTGATGCAATTACAAGGTAAAAACCTTGCAGAACTACGTCGGGCTCAACCTCGTGGAGCATTTTCATTAAGTACAACTCTGCGATTGGGATTACAGATATTAAAAGCTATTGAATCTATTCATTCAGTAGGATTCTTACACCGTGATATTAAACCTGTAAGTAAAAGTTGTTTTAAATATTTCGGAATAAAATAAAGCACCTTATTAAAGAATTACTTTGCATTAAAAAATATCACCGCTGGATTTTACAGCTCTTCGAATCCCATTCAATTCGCCACAGATTCTTCAAGAGAATAAAAAAACTTTTTTTTTACTAAAAATTTAAAATTTTTCCATCCCTAATATAAATTGTTGAAATGATGAAACAGGAAGCCTTTGCAGTTTTTCATGACGGTCATATCGCATTAATTTCTGTGGCCATAACTTCCCACTCCTCTTCTAAATTGTCTATTTGGAAACCCCCGTTTATTGTGACTCTTTTTCCAATTCCGCCACAAGAATCTCAATTTCAGCGCCTGTCTATTTTTTCTGAATCGTTTGTCACAATAAAACCGATACGGATGTATGGAATCCAATTATGGGGCACAGTTTGCGCGACGAATATAAATATAATTCAAAGGTTCCATTCGAAAACATTAAGAGTAATAACAGGCGCACCATGGTACATGCGTAATGAAAATATCCAAAGAGATTTAAATAAACCTATCATCAAAGAGGTTGAAATTCCAGCACAAAAATTCTTAATAAAACTGCGTAACCATCCCTTTTGCTAACACATTGGCCCATGCAAAAAGTCAAACCCGCCTGCAAAGAAGAGAAAAAACAGCCTTCTTAAAAGCAACGTCAAGCCAGTAGCCCATTCCTTTTAGCGGGTTTTATGTTTTAATTTAGCTTAAGATTTTATAACTTATTGTTAGGCTTTCGATGTAGAAGCAGAATCAATAAATAAATATTAAGGTTAAAAAAAAAATATAACTTTCAAGGATCATCAGTAAAATAGCTGACTGATAAGAAACGACGAGCATACCAAAACATAGTCACCTCGGCTACCCTCTCCACTAGCTAGACGAAGGAGTACAGGCTAGTACTAGATGTGAAGGTCGACGACACAAAAATTCGGACGGTAAATAACCAAAAAATAATGGGAGTAACCCTAGACAGCATGCGCTCCTTCACTCCGCATAAGACCGCAATTGCCGTAAAACCCCAGAGCCGCAACAAAATACTTAAGGCGCTAGCCGGCAGCACCTGGGGTAAAGACAAAGAAACTTTGCTGGCTACTTATAAAGTAATTGGCCGACCGGTCGCAAACTATACTGCACCGATCTGGACGCCGGGGACGAACGAGACGCAGATGAAGAAGCTACAGGCTTGCCAAAACACCGCCCTCAGGACTGCGACAGGAAACCTCCTGCTGTCGCCTGAGCATCACTTGCTCAGCGAAGCATCTATGCTACAAGTTAAGGAGCGTATTCTTGTTGTTGTTTTTGTAACCGCAAAATTATTCCCCAAAGTACTTTTTGGGGAATGTTGCGGGAGTGACAACCCTTGGCCGGATAAGAATCCGGGTCGTTCCTGTATAAAGACCCAACTGTCGCGGGAACTATTGGATTTTAGTCGCCTCTTACGACAGGCATGCCTTACCGCGGGTTAATTCTTGAGCCCCTAACCCGCAGGGTTTTCTGTGCAAGCAGTTCCTATTGGGATGTTACCGCACGAAGCTCGAGCTGCCTCGAGAGACCCGCGTGATCCTGACACAACTTAGGTCTGGATATTGTAGCAGGTCAAACTCCTACTTATCCAGACTAGACCCCAACATACCCAACGTCTGCCCTGCATGTGGAGAGTCTCCGCATGACACTAACGACCTCTTCACATGCCCTCTCAAACCAACTCATCTAACCCCCCTTTCCCTCTGGTCCAACCACGTCGAAACAGCACGTTTCCGGGACCTACCATTAGATGACCTCGGCGACTTAGACTGATCAAACATGTGCCTAAGCGGAGTTAGCTACAACAACAACAACAACAACATTGTCATCTGACAATACTGTTGGCGACGGTGTTATACCGTATCGTCATTTTCACTGACGATGGCGATATTCAGCGTGAGGCCGAATGTCGAATGTTGAAGAAATTTATCGTTTTTGAAGTGTTATTCGTACTAAGAAATCTATTTCATACTCTTATTCCGAAGCACAGGTCTAAGTGTATAGTACATCCAGTTGTTGTTGTTGTAGCGGCTTACTAGCATCGCTTAGAGACAGGCTAATTAGTCTCAGTTACCGAGGTGATTTAACTGGAGGTCTTGTTTCTCTGTTTCGAAGGGTTCGGGCCAGAGCGAGATAGGAGTTAGAATTGTTGGTTTAAGGGGGTATGTAAAGAGGTGTTAGCGGTTATTTTACTTATTGCTCGATGGTGCCATTTTAATCTGATACTCCCTCTCTGATGTGCCTGGGAAGAGGCTCAGCATTTATAAGAAGTCTGTTGGGTGCTCCGTGCGGTAGCTTGCGCAGCAAAGCTTCATGAAGAAGTTTCTTGTCGTCAAAAATCTATAGCTTCTTAAACTGCAGCATAGTTAACGACTGGCCGCAGTACAGATAGTCATACGTGACACCCAGTAACTTTTGGTGGTTATGGTCGGAATTTTGATGCCATCATCCATCACATAAAGTTCTAGCATGTATTCCTTCCTTTAGCAAGTGAACAGGTTAGCCGAGAATTTGGTCCGTTGTATTTTCCGTTGACATGCAGCGAAGTGGAATAGGCTGTTAAGATAGCTGTTTAATCTTCCTGAGTTTTGGTGTTTGACCTCGAAATTCTACCATCATCCGCCACTTTAACCTCGGCGGTAATGAGGATTCTTTAATGTCCGATAGTAGCACTAAAGGTTGACGGTGTCAAAATCTTTTGAAAAAACCAGTGCTACCAGAACAATTCGCGCACAGGGCTGGTTTTCGGAAGCCATTCTGATGAGATGTTGGACTCGGATGGTGAATAAACGTCAAGAGCAGTAAGTGCCTCAAGTGTCTTCGCTACTGGGAATAGGTGGGCTGGTGCCCACGGCTTGAGTAGCGGGAACACACTATATTGCCGCATATGCATGCTTATTCCGTCGGTGCCATTGGATTTTGGTGCCTTTGCTTTCGTCGGCTAAAATAGCCTGCGCATTTCTTCGGGTTCGACAAGTCACGGTTGCTGAATGAAATCTCCACTCCTCGAAAACAGAGTGGGGAGGCGTGTCAGTCAAGATGTGTATAGGTACTATAAGTGCTCCGATGCTAATGCAAGTATAGGTCCTCAGACTGTACTGTTTATGAGATCTGCCTTCTCAATTGTTATGTCTGGCGAGCTTTGGCGATTACCCATAACATAAAGAAAGAGTGTTATCGTTCATGGTAGATTGTGTCGAATCGTCTATCTGTTCCGCCAGCTCCATATCTCTACGGTCATTTGATAGGATAGAATGTCAAAGATCGTGATGCCCGTTAAAGTTACCGAAGACCAAACGGTTCTCGGCTCTGAGTAGCGCACCTATATCAGGGCTATATCCAGTTGGGCAACATGTAACAAGAGAAATGTATGTACTAAATATTACGAGCTCGACAACGCCTGATCGGATAGCTATGGTCTGAGGTAGGATCCCTGCGGAAGTATCTTTTCGGTCGATGCCGCCATGAATGAGACGTTACTGCACGGTGTTTTGTAAGATAAACGTTAAGCCTCTGCATTGATCTCGCTCGCATTACTTGCGGATAATGTTATATCCGGCACGGCTAAGAAGACCCGAAAGGGCGGTCAACTTCGTTTCTTAGGCAGCAGCAATTGAGAGGCGCTTCCAGATTCTATAGTCGACTATCACTACGATCTTTCTCTGGAGTCCGTTGCAGTTAAATTGTAGCAGTCGTGTCTGTCTCGGGGGGACGTTCGCTATACGGGGGATGAGGAAGTGATGAGAGGGTGTAGTGTGTTGTTGCTGTAATACCAGCTGAACTGAAAGTCACACATTGGTTGTGGTTGCCGGCGGTGTTGTAGATCAATGTGGAGCAGACTCCTACAGGATGGGGCAACGTACGCATCGCTTCATTTACTGAACTACATAGTATTATTTGGTCTTCTCTGCCATTTCTTAGACCCTAATGAAACTTTTATTTCTTTAAATTTGTTTTATTTATGTTCAGCTGTAATTTTGTTATTAACATTTCTGTCCTTCTTTCTTCTGAGTGCTATCATCCGCAGAATCGACTTTTTGGGCGGTTAAAAAAACGAGTAATCTCTCATTATATCTGATACGCACTTCCATGAATAACTAAGAGATAACTCAGCCGCCTTAATATATGAAAGCCAAACTTTAAATTCACATATATATACATACTAATATGTGCATAACTAAATAAATAATGTATATAATGTTGACAAGAAGACTACACTTCTCTCCAGAATTTGGACCATGGATTGACCTATTCAAGAAAAATTTATTCATGGTTCTATTTATTTGAAACTCGGAACATAGGTGTATTTTTGCTTAGATTAACAGGAAGTCGCAGTAGCCGAGTGGTTAGCGTTGCGTACTGACATTCGAAGTCCCGGTACCAGCAGAGTCCAAAAAATGTATTTAAAATTAATTTAAAATAAAAATTAAGTTAAATTTTCCAGCTGCGTTCGCCTCTCGGTATAAATGCTCCTCATAAAAAAAACCATTACCCGTTCGGAGGTCCTTAGTTTCAACTGTAGGTCCCTCCATTTGTTGGAGAAACATTAAGATCCAAACCACAAGTCGGAAGAGGAGCTCGGCCAAAGAATCGCTTCAGCGGTTACAAAGCGCCAATTATATATATATAACAGGGAGACTATTATTCTTTTCGGGAAGTGGAGCCGGGACTTGCCTATTCAAAAAGTCGGACTATTCCCCTCTGCAGAAAGTAGGCCAATGTGAATGGCGAAACCAAAAATGTTGTATTTCCCAAGTAATAAATAGATATCGTATTATTAATTTTCCATATATTCAATGAGTATGTGCGACAGCGAGGCGTTGCAGGATACAGCTAGTTACTATATACAGTAGTATGCAATTTTCCACACTTGCTAGTGTTCTTGTTGAAAAACGTTTTTTTATGAACATTTTTTATGAAACATTTAATGAAATAATATTTTTAATCAATATTTTCAGAGTAACTTTTCAATAGGACGTCTGCCATATAATTGTCGTCGAGTGTATATGTTAGATTTTGGTCTCGCCCGACAATACACCACAGGAACCGGTGAAGTTCGTTGTCCGCGTGCCGCGGCTGGTTTCCGTGGCACTGTACGTTACGCTTCGATAAATGCACATAGAAACCGTGAAATGGGTCGTCATGATGACTTGTGGTCTTTATTTTATATGCTAGTCGAGTTTGTCAATGGACAATTGCCGTGGCGTAAGATCAAAGATAAGGAGCAAGTAGGCTTAACTAAAGAAAAATACGATCACCGTATTTTACTCAAACATTTACCTTCTGACTTAAAACAATTTTTGGAACATATTCAATCACTTACATACTCCGATCGTCCAGACTACGCCGTAAGTACATTTTTACGTTATGTAATTTTTATATTAGCCCTGTTAACGATTTATTAATGCAATGTAAATAAATATTTGCTAATATACTTATCCAGATGTTGATTGGGCTATTTGAGCGTTGTATGAAACGGAGAGGGGTAAAAGATTCGGATCCTTATGATTGGGAAAAAATCGATACTGTTAACACGACGCCTAGTCAGGTACCAAACACTGTACAAGTGACAAGTAAAAACGAATGTATACACGGAAATATTACACAGATGACAGTTGCTCCGTCAAATGCTAGTGGGACCGAATATGTAAGAAAATGTGTCTCATGAAACTATTATATAGTAATTTTTCGATAAATTTTAGATACGCCGTCGTAATGATATCGATACACCTCTAATGGTTTCTACAGAGCCTGTAAATGTAAAGGAAAAGGTATTATCGTTAAAAGTTAGAATTTACTAATATAATGCGTCTTAAGCGCATGTTATTTGAATGTTTATTTTAACAGGTTGATAAAAACTGTAATGCAACTTCTCCACAGTTCGATGGTCCTTTGCAGAATATGAGTTCATGTAATCAAGACAACGCTCAAAAGACAAATCCATGTACAACACTAATAGTCGCAAATTGTGGCAATGATGTGGGTGGCATATCACTAGATCAATCCCAAGATCAGAAAATCTCAACAAAGTTATCATCACAGCCTCTATTAATTTTATCGCAAGCACCGACAATATTGCCTTCCTCTGCCCAAAATGCTGCTATTTCCGCTGGTGCAATCAAGACGTCTTCTGTAGTAACAACTTCCAACCATGCAGACATTACTGCTTCTGTTACTCAGACACATACACCTAAACATCAACAAAAACAGCATTTTCTTCATGGGCATTTAAACAACCAACATACTCCAAATGTCACATCTACGAGGACTGGAAACAGACATTGCTTTTCTACTATTCAGGTATTATATCTTTTCAATCATTTTCCTAGCGTCAGATTAGTCTCCGTATTAATATACTAAAATGTATATTAATAGGCCATACGAATACCCTCCACCCGCCCAACCGACACGAGAGGCGACATCCGTATAACGTACGGAATATGTCGAGTAATGATTGGAAAGTGTTTGTTAAGCGTCAAGATTCATTCATTCATTTTCAGCTCCAGAAAAAATAATTATTCAACAGCTGAAATTAAGTAATTATGGAATATTAAAATTTAATTGTTGAGGGAAGTAAGAATAATTTTTGATGCTAAAAAGTGAGTCTGAGAGATTGAAGGTGCTGGAATGAAAATTGAAATTGTGACATAGTCGGAGAAAGGGTTCATTAAATTCATAATTTTTTTACATGACTTTAATATAAAACCCCTAACTGCCTAGATACACGAGTTGGAACATTAAAGTTTAACTCATATAAAAGCCATGAACTACAAATTGTTCCCTTACGACTTGCGAGAGTAGGTAGATTTAGAAGCTTTAAACGATTGGTATAGGGATCAAGATTTATCGTAGAGTCCCATGGGAAATATCTTAATGCAAGAAGTAAAAGGTGTTTTTGAACAGACTCTAACTTATCGGAATAAACCTGATAATTGGGGTTCCATTTCAGTGAACCATATTCTAATATTGGCCTCACTAAAAATGTATAAAGTGCTTTATATAGCTGAACTAGTTCGTTTTATAACAAACGTCTTTAGTCGAATGAGGTATATGACATGAAAAGTTTAACATAATCGGCATATAACAAGATATTTGAAGATACATCATTTATGAATAATAGAAACAGAAATGGGCCGAGATGGATACCTTGAGGATGAGACATTGATTATTTCTGATAAAGTGGTTTTAAATGTTACCCGTAGTGTTTTTTTGCAAAGATACTTGAAAATTCATTGAAGGAATCTTGGTTGAAAGCCCAGAAGATATGTGACAAAAATTCGAGAAAATTTGTAAGTTTTGATTGGATAGTAGTTAGGAGATCGAAAATGTTATCTGGCCAGTAATGATTGAATCAATAAGCTTTGGTATAGCGGATATTTTTACTGTACCTTTGAAAGAATGCTTCCATATTGTAGGGAACACATCTTGTTTTAAAGAGTAATTAAACAGTTCAGCTAAAGACAAATAGAGATTTTTTGCACAACTTTTCAGAAAGCACGTAGGACTCATATCTGGACCATAACTGAAAGAATGTTTTAGATTCACCAAATGATATAATACATCTTCCTCATAGATATATATAATAAGCGGTGCGTAATTTTTTCATATAGTAAATAATTTTTTCGAATAGTAAATAATCGAAGAGCACACCAAAAGACAATTAACCTTTTATCAGTCAAAAACAACCTGCCAATCCAAAATGGGTGATATTGCCCACATATATGTACAACAGACATGTATACCAAATTAAGAGAAAGAGAAGCGAAAATCGAACAAACGTATATGTATGATATAGATATATGTATAGATACTGGAGAAATGCATTCGTATGCATTTAAATTCCATAGAATCTAAACTTTTAACAATTATTTCTACAGAAAGAATTGTAGAAAGAGCGGCGAGTAGAGCCCCACCTCTGATTCTATTTAAGCGATCAGTTCCGTAAATTTGTTACTCAATATTGAAAATTTCATTATCAAAATCGTAAGGATTACGCCGTGTAATAAATGATATAATGTTAAAATTACAATGTAGACTATTTAGATACAAGTCAGCTAGCTTGCCATTAATATTTCGAACATTTTGATAATATATACTTATACAGAGGTGTTTGTTTAGTTTTTCTGGCTCCCCATTTTCGTGAGGTTATTTAGCAATATTTCTTCATTGAGCTTAATACCTCTATGCTGAAATTCGCGCACAAATGCTCCGGTAGACCAGAACGTACAATCAAGAAGTTGATTAAAGCATTCAAAAGAAGTATCGATTATGAACGTAGAAATATTGCCGTCATATTTGAACTTAAATTTTCTCACTGTAACGTCATCAGATTTAATTTTTGAAGTGGTGTCTTACTTAACCTCTTTGCTGGTGGTATCTTTAGCAAATCTGGAAATAAAAACAGATTTTTTTGAGGAAACAGCAACCAGTTTATATAAAATGTTTACTGGTGGTGGAGCAGCCAGATAAGTACCACATTGAGGCTCTGGAACATTTAATTGAGCGTTAGTCTACCCTTTAGATGTTGAAGGCTTCTCTATCAGGGGACAAGGTGACGACACATTTGTTAAATCAATATTAGATGGATGCGTAGGGATTCTTTTTTGAGAAGACATTTTTGATGACTCGGCCCATCACAAAGCCAACAAGCGACAAAGCGCTCAGACTCACCTTTCATATCACAGTTAGGGAATGAAAGCAATAAATTAAAAAGAATAAATAAAAATAATAGTAATTAATTAAAGGTTTAGTACTAAAATTTAAAAATAAATAAATAAGAATATAATCAAAATTAAAAGCAAAAAAATATTACTGACAAAATGAAAAACAAACAGTTTTTCTTTTCAGTAAAAATAAAATGTGTAAAACAACTTCACAGCTCAGCGTGTTTTACAAATAGTAACAGCGTATGTATGTTTTCACTTAAAATAGCGTTGCGTAGGCTTGAAAAATGTTACAAACCACACTACAACTTTGTTCCGTAGAGACCACCCCTGCAAACTCAACAGTTAAACACATAAAAAAAGATATTATGAATTTCAATTTTCTACAAGCAGAATTACATTCGGATTAACACTTTGTAGAACTCTTTCCCAGAGTGTGTCCTAGTAGGGTTAGAGTCTTGGCCCAACCAAAATCTAAGATTAGTTTTTCTAATTGCGGTCGCCCTTTGTAGAGAATGTCTGAATGTATTTATGACATGAAATAAACCGTTTTTTATAAAAATACATCAGCTGTTCGGAGGCGGCTTAATATAGACTATAGATGATTCTATTTTTTGAAAAAATATCAAGACGCATGTCAAAAATTTAAGAGAAAGCTAGCCGAAAATCGATCCTGCAATTGCAAAAGGCCAATTATATTATTTATATATTTTATTTAATTACAGGTCAAGATACAAAAACTTTAACATATAGAAATTTTTATGGTTCTTTTAGCATAAATAACTGTTCAAATAACCATACAAACGCTTATAGGTTAGAGTTTCAAAAAAAAAAAATTAAAATTCCAAAACATAGATTTCAATATAACAGAATGAATATGTTTATTGTAGCGGACCCGATAGACGTCCTATCATACATCTTAAATGCAATTTTTTTGAAGTCAGCTGTAACAGTTCGACCGTTTTGGTGAAAATTTCGATTAAAAACTCATTACAATATTTAACGTCATTCATAAATATTTATCTTGATGCGACCAATTGACAAAGTGTGAGTATGTGTATGCTTTCAAAGTCATTTTAATTGAAGGTTAAAAGGTTAAATTTTAAACTATTCTACAACGGGTATTTATACTTAGAGTTCATTATCTACAAAAACTGAATTTTGTTTATTGCCATAGGATGTGCAATAATTTTGAATAATGCTTGAGAGGTACAAACAAAAAAATCGATGGTTTCCCCACTCTCAAGCACGCAATTCATAATTACCGGGGGAGAAGCAAGAATTTTCTGAATCTAATCCTGAAATCGTCTTTGTTTGACGTTGTGAATCTATACCATTCTCGAACCCGCTTGAATGTACACAGCCGATTAAACGGAGTTTAATTACTAACAAGAATAAATGTAAATAAACATAAGTAAAAGTGAAAAAATGTGTCATTGCATATACTTTTTGTCTCAAATATATAGTTCGTAGTATATATATTAGGTCTATCGGAAAGTTCTGTCCGAATATATTACATCATTTTCGCCACGTGAGTACATGTTTATTTATAGCTGGTTCGGCTTTTTATTTTTATCGCTTAATGCATACCTACTAAAGTAGCAAATAAACTATAATAAAGTTGATTCACACTAGTCTTAGCTGTGAAACGATAATATACCCATGGCATTTGACAAAGTCCATTTACGCCACTGTATTTCATACGAATTTCAACAAAGAGGGAATACTACAGAAGCATGTAGAAATTTACTGAAACTGTTTGGTAAAGATACAGAAAATTTTGAATCAGGTGATTTCGACCTTTCTGATAAGTGTTTGGGGCGACCTTCTTTGATTGGGAGTCTTTTCTGACAACATCGGAGATCGCAGAAAGGTTTAATTAAGCTCAACAAACTATTGGCGACCATATTCAGAAGATAGGATTGGTGTGGAAGTTTTCGCGGCTCGTATTTGTACTTTGTTTTATTACAAAAACGGACAGATCTTCCCGGTAGACCTAATATATATTATCTGTTAAATGTTTAGAATATAATTTTAAAATAACACTTTTATCATAGGCCCAAATCGTTGGATGCGTTGAAGAAGTTGGAGAAAATTCGGTATCGGTACAAGCCTATTTGCAAATGGACCGGAATCTTGTTGGAAATGAGCAGAATAATCAGATCATTGGAGAAAGTGACGCAGCTCTTAAGCGTACTGTTGGGGAAGCTCTAAAAGCTTGCTGCTCGCCTACAAAACTTCAAACGGGCTCCAGCATTAAAAACCATACTGTTTCCAATTTTAATAGGGATGTGAAAGTTATTGATCCACTTATGAAAGGTAGGTTATTATCATAAATAAAATGCACATATTGCACTTATATGTAAAGCTGCTGCGGCATTTGCTAAAATATACCAAAACATATAGGATTTTTCCGATTTTCTAGAAATAAATAAAATATAATATGTTACATAAATAATATACATATCAACTTATTTTTTGCCAAGAGCCGCTACATGCTACAATAATCATATAACTGACTTAATTATATACACGTATGTACATTAATACTGTGCGCACCTCGCGCATAAACTTGGAAGGTACATAAACGCATGGTGTGACAAATTTCAGGCCAGTAACACTATTAAGGATCTAAAGGCTAAAGTTCTCCTTTCATTATAATCCCTACTAATATTATAATTAGTTATTATATAATATTTCGATATATATATAGTGTAAACTGTAGGTTCCAATTATCTATAAAATTATAAATGAAAATGTGAGTTTGTTTGCTAAGCCTGCACTAAAAAATTACCTAAATGATCATCAAGAAACTTGGTACACATATTCAGGAGGTATGAAGAGTAGCATAGGACACTAAACTACTTTTAATGAAAGATAAAAAAGTGAAAAACGCCAAATCCGTCTATATATCTATAAACGCCATTTTGATTTGTAGTAATAATGTTTCAATCCTGAGTTGTACAATATAATACCATCGAAATTTTGAGGTAAGGCATAATTTTTGTGGTTAAATGCCACATCATAACATTAGCAGCCCCATTCTATGTACTCGACAAATTAACAAAATATTATTAACTTATCAAGCAAAAATTTATTTGTTATTCTGCGTCAATCTTAATAAACATAAAACTTCAGTTTATTGTGCTTTTCTTCAGACGTGAACAAAGAAATGTTAACAGAAAGCAGCTGTTTTTGCTAACGTTAGTTCTTTTAGAATAAAGGAAAAATAAATAAACAAATATATGTAATACAACTAAGTAAAATATTTTAAAAGTCATATGTGAAAAGGTTCGACATTGTCCCTTCATTCGCAGAACTATATCTATATCTTCGTATAACTTGCACAGCTCATCGTTCCATCGTCTGCTGAATTCGTCGCAGCCAATGCACAAAGGACCTTAAGTCATTCGCAAAATTTTTTATCTAGAAAGCTTACAATGAAACATCATCAGATGCTGACATTATTTATATAGTAGGGTGAGTGTTATGAGCGACTTTTAGAGTTGAGTAGAGTGAGGGAGAGGATTTTACTTTTCAATTGCCTACTCAGTCTAGTAGCACTTGTTGGCAAGAGTGATTCTAAGTCGGCTTTCAAGGCTGACAATATTATTGGTGTTTATGCTGGTCATTCACTTCGCTTCCTTATCAAGTCTGGAGAAAGCACAATTAACGGGGCGGTTGTTAAGGCCGATCACATATTAATATTATCGACATACGCCAGTTCTTGTTAAAGATTGTTCCTTGTCATTCCCAAACCTGGCAAAAAGACTACACAGTAGCCAAATCTTTCAGGCGAATAAAGCTAGCATCATTAAACTTAAAAATAATATTATCAACAACTATATAAGAACAACTAATGTAAGGAATGTACCTTCAAACTACGCACAACCTGCGTATGGAGAGGGCAGCTCAACCAACTCAGCTTTATCTCAAAAAGTGTAATTAACAACAAAAAAAGTCGCAAAATGCGCTGAAACAGTTGTACAGTTGAAAGCACTTCGTATGAAATGAGTAGAAGAACCGATTGAAAACTTGATTAACTTCATGCTTAACAATAGGATAGAAAAGACAGTGTTAGATGACGAGACCATTTAGATGAAGACTACAAGGGGATGCCCTTTTTTTTTAGTTAAGAGTAAGGCGGATCGACTTGCTCACATAAGCCAGGTTTTTATTCTAGGTTGGATTATATTCACGATGGATGCCTACTGGATACTTTATTTATTCTTCTTTGTTTTCTGATTTTTTTCCTGGTGATTTCCTTTTCATTAGGTATTGCTTTAGCCTTTTTTGTGAAAAGTAGCGTTTCTACTTATTTGGATAGCGTCTTGTGGGCATGTGTGTATACCTCCATTGCTTGTTTTAGCCAAACTAATTGATCGATCCTAATGAAATTTGCGGCATAAATATTGCTAAATTATAAATAAGGTAATTATACAGGAGAGCGGCTTTTGCTAAAACTGCCCAAAAATATGGGGTGTTTGGCTAAATAGGTGTATTTAATGATTATCACAAAAGCGAAAATTCATAACATTTCCATCATTGTTGTCGATGGCACATTCTATCAAAATTTCTCCGAAGAAACTACTCCAGTCCACTACTGTTGTACTATTCCTACCAAGGTCGTGCATTATAAAGTCTTGTTTTGGAGGATTAATTCCGCAATTAAAAACTGAGAATATCAGTTACGGAACGTTTAGAATACTCGAACGCTTAAACGAGCACGACTCAGCCGTTTTCTTTTTTCCTTTTATGGTAACGTACTTTCGTATGCCTTGCCTCCACGACATTTCATTCTTATTAAAAGTGCAATCGCTTTCGCGCTTGGGCCATTTTAATGTTCTTAGCAAAAGCCCATGTTCTTTTAAAAGCTCCATTACTTCGTTGTCGATTTTTTTTGAAAAATTGGTGCAATTTTATCTTGCAACCTTCGCAACTTAGAACGCCTGACATAGCACAAAAATTTTACTAAAATTCAATATGAAAAAAGTTCAGTGAGTGTCATTCCCATTTTTTTTTTAAATGTAGGAAAGGAAATTATTTTTATTAAATGAATAGCAATGCATTACAGAGTTTATCAAAAACATGTTATGGTTTGCACTTTCATGCAGGACTCTTCCCTCTATAGAGGAGCTCCGAATAAAATAATTGTGCTGCGCTTTTGGGTAATTGGCATTTGCCACTATAATCTTGATATATGGACCACACATCTATTAGAAAACAATAGTAATTGGAAACAAATTTACTCTCACCATTTGCACGTTGATGGAATAATATCCACTCATGATTTATGGGACTCATGTCATGACTCATTGGACGGTTGATTGCTTCTGTTACGCGATGAATACAACGGTTTACTGACGACTGACTCATGGATCTCACCCTCTGCTCTATGGCGGGACGTTGATAGCATCCAGTTGCAAACTAAGACTAAAAAAAATATTGGAAAAATATTTTATTACCTGTTTCTCCGTAATCAGTGCTGTTATTCTTCTTCCTTTTAGTTGAAATAGTTGAGAAACGATTTCTTCAACTAAATCAGGCGCTCATCTATATAGCTTCCGAAACTCGGTAGCCTCCAAATAAAAAGGATCTTCCGCTTCTCCACGCAAACTTCTATCCAATGATGAAGGGCAGGATACCTCTTCATCTTGTGATAAATCGTATGCCAAATATTTAAAAGCCATTTATTTTATTTTTTTATCTTTAGTTTTGTATAACTTAGGCAATTTTCCGGACACTTTACTCTCTTAAATGAAATACCAATATTTTTGCGATATCGCTTAGTTAGCGATTTTTCGAGTAGTTTACGACAAGAGCGAGAGCGAATATCGTTGAAATAAGTACACCGAAAATAAAAATCGGTGGAAATATCGCAAGTCTTTTTTTGCAATCCGAAAATCGTTATACTATTCTTAGAAAATAGCGAATATCTTTAAAAATATCGCGATGCGATCCGAATATCATTATATCATGTAAAAGAATAGCGAATATCGTTAAAAATATCGCTAAGTCTTCTTCGCGATCCGAAAATCGCTTTTATTTAAGTTTCTGACACAGTATGGCAACATTTATTTGTATGTAATGTGTGTGCTAGTAATTTTAGTTTAACTTAAAATGTTTATAATAAGAAAACTACAGCAGAAATCAGCTTTCAGCAACTTTTAATGAAAAGATAATCATCAAATACACCTATTTAGCCAAACACCCCATATTTTTGGATAGTTTTGGCAAAAGCCGCTCTCCTGCTTAATCTCCATAAATAATATGATGTTAAAAACCTAATCATTTTCATCACAAAATTTTATTTAGCAAGTGCACTTATATAACATACGTGATATCTATTCACACGCGATTACTAAAAATCGTCGTAATTTTATTTTATTTGGTTAGCAGTAAAATATTATTTTGTTTTTGTATATTATTTCGAAGTTATTTGCAAAAGAAATGTCCAATAATAGCAATAAGAAAATAAAAATGCAGTAGTGTAGTAGTGTACAGGGTTGTATGTACACAATTATATTTTAAAAACACATTTTTTATACCATTATACCATGCAAGACGGTGTTGGTCCGGCTCAGGGTTACAATCAAACCGCGGCCGAAAGCTGCCAACTTTAAGGAAGTTTCGGGTTACAATGAANTGTCCTCTTGCTGAGTTTGGTTTTTTGTTGTTAAGTATCTGTCTAAGTTCTTCATATGTTATAGCCAGATTACATTTTGAGATTATGCGTTTGTTGATTGTTATATGGTATTGTGATGGTGTGATATGTTGTTTTTTTACATATAATATTATTTGGCTTCTTTTGCAGTAGTCTCCTCTTAGACCCCTAACAAAACTCCAGCCTGTTTTAGTGGTAGGGTTTTTTTATTTGCTTTATCTTTTCCATAAAGCTATCTTTTTTGACCTATTTTCAAATTTCTTCTTTTTTATTTGGGTTTCCTCTCGGCGTTGATGTCGGTTGAGGCGTTTTTTATTTCAATATGCTCCATTTCGGTGCATAGATCTGCCACTTTTGGTGCTTTAAGGAGTTTATTTTGTGCTATAAACTTGAGTTTTGTAAATTTATTGGTTTGGTTTTCGATTATGATTTGGAAATGATGACTTCCTCCAGCTCTGATGGGGTCAAATTTCCAAAGGTATTCTATGTTACTGTTCGAAAGTGATAGATCTAAAATACAGCCTGTGGTTTGTCCTATGTATTTTTAGTATTCATTATTTAAGAGTGAAAACTGCGTACTATGCATTATGCTGCATTTGTTGTTGTTTTTATTCGTTTGCAAGGTATCCCCCCATGCTGTTGTTCTGGCGTTAAA